CCCAAATCCAGGGCCGAAACGTTGTAACATTCGTTTTTAAATAAAAATCACGAGCCAGTGTAGGTCGCTTAAATTTATGAAGATTTGTTTTTAAATTACTGGCGATATACAATTTACCACTTTATTCTAGGTAAACTTGTGAGATGCATATATACATTTTCTGAAAACTTTGGTCATTATTATTGAATTTGATAACAATAGCAAAACGTTTGGTAACAATTATAGACATTCTGAAAGAGTAAATTTTACAATTATCACATCTTCAGAATTCGCGAAACGTTGCCCTTTCAATTTCAGTTTTAGCCGGGGGGAGAGGTAGAAATCGGCCGATGCGAGATCGGGTGAGTAGGGGGGAGTGTTCAAGAGTGGTAACATTATGCCTGGTGAGGTAATTTTTTACCAGTAATGACCGATGGGCTGGGGCCTTGTCATGGAGCAAGACCCAATTGTTTCCCGCCCATTTTTCTGGACGTTTCCTCCTGATTGCATCTCGTGGGCGGCGAAGAATTGCCACGTAAAGTTCTTTGTTGACAGTTTGACTCTACCTTGCTCGGTCATTACTGGTAAAAAATTACCTCACCAGGCATAATGTTAGCACTTTTGTACAATCCCCTACTCACCCGATCTCACAACGGCCGATTTCTACGTGTTCCCCGGCTAAAACTAAAATTGAAAAGACAACGTTTCGCGAATTCTGAAGATGTGATGGAAAATGCGACGAGACAGCTTATGGAGCTTTCGAGAAATGGCTTTCAACAATTGTGCGAACGTTGGGGAAAGTGTGTGAATGCAGGAGGAGAGTATTTTGAAGGTAATTAATAGCAAATTCGATTGCTCGCGCACTGAGTGCACATTAAGGTCAGTTTGTAGTCAATTTTTATACTTAACTCTGTCTTAAATACACATTCAAAGAGTATTTAGCCAAAAAATCATCCGCCTGGATGCTGCACAGATCATTTTACTGACTGCGAAATAATTCAAGAAATATTTAAGATAATTGTCAAATATAAAAATTGACTGTAAACAAGCCTTGGTGTGCACTCAGTGCGCACTAGTGCAAGCAACCGAATTCGCTATAAGTTTAATTTGCTGTAACTTTAACAAATAAAAACATTTTGACCAATTCCGGGAACTTCTTGACTCTACCTTGTATAACCAATATTGGACCAATGTTTAGCCAATGCGCTGCGCTACTAAGATAGTGCTTTATTTGAAGATTCTTTCCCTCTCGTACCGTGCCCGATATAACAAGCCCCGATGAAAAATTGCATACTTTTTATGCGAGTCGCGAACGACTACACGAGAAACGAACGTGAAATCCCGCTTATCGGAACCTCATTGCAATTAGAGTGCATCTCGAAGCGACGAAGAAAGGGAGTCCAGGGAGTTCGAAGGGAACCTTTGACATACCGTGCAAATTGAACTTTCGTGTAAGGCCCGACGAACGAAGACGGAGATAAAAGGCCGAGAAGGCGAGAGGAGTGAGGGAGAGAAGAGGGGGAGAGGGGCAGGCAAAACGTCTCGTATTCCAGGAGTACTTTTAAGAAAGGGCGAGAATATTGGTGGCTCTCGCGCTACCAAGAAGGAAGGGAGACCATTCCGCGCCGCGTATCCCGCTTAAACCACCGCCGCGCAACTTTCGACCCGAATATCTCACGCGTATTCGTACACTGGGCGAGTGAATTAAAAGAGCGATGTCGTCGAATTTCGCCAGAAAATCCGACGGCCCGACAGAGGCAATGCCCTTGCGATGATCGGAATTTATACGACGCGCCTTCGTCGATACCTCGCGCGTAAATTCGTTCTTGTTGCGACGCGCACGTTTTGTCCGAGTTGTCGGCGACGACACGCAGTAAAGGCGTTTTACGACCGCGGAGGTGAAATTTTTATCCTCCCCATAAAATTCAATATCGAGCCGTCGGTGAACGCGGCCCGCGCGTGTCGCGCACAAGAAGCGCTAACAATAAAACGAAGGGCTAAATCGCTCGTGCAGAAAAGCGCGCGTTTAAGGGCTCGATTAACGTGGCCGGCGTGGCGCGTAAAGCACTACGAACAAGTAATGCACGCATGCCCCAGCGCCGGTATAATAACAACGCAGCAAATAACCGCTTAGCGTAGACGAGCAGCGAGAGGCGCGGAGAGAGTGGAAGCCTCGCGTGTACTTATGTTTTATCAGAGTACACCGCAACGGAGGGCCGCGTCATTTACGTGATCCCCCCCCCCCCCTCCTCCTCTCCTCTCCACGCTCGTGCTGTCATACAAGGAACTCTCGACTTCCCGCGAGATTATCTTCGCATAAATTTGCAAATTTTTCAAAATTATGCCTACTCGATCGCGCATCGTTGCTTCCATTTCATTTTACTTATTATTCGATTTTGCATTCACGAACAAATCCACGTTCTCCAGCCAACCGTACTACAGAAAGCCACAGCTTGTAAAGGCCTGTTTCGACGACGCTAGAACTTGGCCCAAGTTCTAATTTCGAGAAATGTATAGCCAGTCAAGCTTGCAGCTATTCCGTAAAAGCTGCAAGTTGATTGACCACACATTCCTCGGAACTTGGACCAAGTTCTGGCATCGTGGATACAGGCCTTTAGAATGGTTGCGCGAAGAATGTATTCTACTTATCGTAAATATTCA